AAAGCGCAAGAAGGGGAATAAGAAGATGGGAAGGCTTGAGCAGTAGCATCCAAACCCCTATCCACCCTGCTCGATGCAGCAGATAGGGCACCGTTGATTATCCTCTGCGGTGGCCAGAGCATCAGAAATTTGTTTGGGGAAGGATTCATTGTATTGCGTGGGTAGGATACTGTCAGGTTGCCCAGGCCTAGACAGGAGAACGATTAGGGTTCTCAACCAAAGCCTTTGGTTCAAAAACCTGACCGCAAGGCAGCGGGTTTGGCACTGGACTACAAGGAGTCCGTTTTAAGGAATAAGGAGCCACCCTCATTCCAACCCCCAAGCTGGAGGACCAGGAGGCTGAGTTTGTCTGGCCTCTAACCATTGACCAATCTGGTATGAGTGGCTCTGAAGGTGCAAAAATGCACCACCCAGTATAGCTCAATGGATCACTGAGGCACACAAACCATCGCACCACGGTAAGGTCCAGCCTCGTTGCGATGTCGTCCGCATACTCAAAATTTGTCAGTCGGTCACTACCACTCCGGAAGAATGTGAATGAACGGGGTCACTCATGATCATGGACAATACGGGAGAGCCCTACTTGTCAGGAGACAGCTTTCAGTAGACCCATAACAGACTCCGAGTCATGATAGAATTCAGAATGGAAAGGAGTTGCCTAGACAGTACAAGGATAGGCATCGACACGAATTGCCTTGATCAACAGAGCGGAAGTCGGCTTACAGGTCAGGGAAAAGCACCATAGTTAATCATCCGTAAGTGTGCATCTGCTTTAGCACCTGACGAGGAGCAAATATGTAGTTGACCGGTAGCCAAAAGAATTAGACGCCTGTCTTGCAATCCGGAGGCTACCGCTTCGAATCCGCAACCTGTTGGTACACCTAGCCCACGCACAACCTGTGGTGGTCGCTTGTCAGCGAAGCTTCGGTACGGTGTGCCGAGGTACTGCGGAGGTCTTCGTTTTGAGGTGGTTAATACAACGATGACCATGGCGGAAACAAGCCTGGTTTTCAGTGATTCAGTTCTCACAGGGATCAGTAGGTTGACGAACAAAGATATCCATGGGACGTTAGGAGACAATGAAAATAACACGAATGTTTCGATGATATTCGCAAAAAGTGCGCTGCCCTTCTAAAAGATGGATACGACAGTTGACAGTTGCTAATCAGGAAGCACTTCTTCGGTGTAACAAATAATTTAGAATACTGTAGGCAAGTCCAGCCAACGAAGAGTAACCTACATCTGTTAGCAAAGCTGGAGAAAGGTCGTAGATCCCAACATTTCTGATTCCCTTAAACACGGCAAGCTCGTGCCAAATCTCTCCTAAAGTGCGCGGTGTGACATCAACTTCCCAAGTCGGCGCAAGTGATTCGGCAAGTGACAGTGTTGCAACAGGTTTGCTGAAGTGCTCTTCAACAACCCAACAAGCTAGTGGACGATGGATTTCTCGGACCCGTGTTCCGGATGAGCCGGAATAGCACTCGGTTGTTTCCAATACCAACGGCTTTCTTCAGCTCACGGGCCTTTGCAACCACCCACCAACACTCCTGGTCAACTCGAAGACACCGAGTCAGACGTCGTTTCAGAGAGCCACGGACACGCTGAAACTCAGTTCCGATTGGAACCTGTTTACGTACTTCGATCAAGCTGATCGATGCCGCAGTTACGTCTCAAGTCGGGTGCACAGCAAGCGTCAAAGGTATTCTTCAGAACACACTTGAGACGATCTCATTCAGCATTCGGCTTACCGAGTTCATTCGCAACTGGTGAGCCAGTTTTTTACTATATTGTTGAACGACAGATTTCGAGTTCAAGTTACAGGTAAGAAGAGTAGAAGATAGGCGTTTTTTAAAGCGGGAAGAGTGGGCGCCAAGCGCGCGCGTATCAGAGTATGGTTGGAATCCGGGTACGTGCTCCAAATTGACCAATAGTCTTGGACTGATTTGCGCCATCTATAAATGATGGCGATGTGATCAACTTGGGTCCAGGTAAATGAAGAACTCGGTGGGCGCCAGGTGACGAGGTGTGAATGTTTGTGCTGGAAAGCAGTGCTGTTAAGGTAAAAATTGTGGTAGGCGTACAGTTGCAGGATTCGATCATCATTTTCTGTTCGGGGTGCATCGACCCCGAAGCGGCCTCCGAGGTGTTATTAGGAGTCTGAAAGATAAATTACTTGGACATAAAAGTCATCAGCCGTGCGCCGGTATGCAGTACGGACGCTTCGCTGCCGCGGAATCACCACCAGTCGCGCGTGGGCTAAAGATACTGCGAGGGTCGCAGGCTCCGAGCGCGCTCTTGGATTACAAGGCTGGCTTGTGATCCTTAAGGCTACAGGTATAGCCTAGGGAATAGGGTGATCACTTGCCGGTAGCGAATCTAGTAGTTCCGCTCGATTAAATTGCTTTGCAAAGTGCTCAGTTTAATGCTCCAAGCATGTTGGATGGTTGTGGATAGATTATTTGCTATCATCACACATAGTCTTGTTGACACCAGATTAATCGGAATTAATTCTGATGTCAAACAACAGCTGCAGCTGTTTCCATCTTCGTTGTACTATGAGACCACCAGGATTCGCAGTCTCAATTCGGGCTAACACGGGGTTTTGCCCCGTACTCACTGCGAGTCTCACTGGTTTCTCCTCCAGCGGGAATATGCCGGCGAGTATCGATAAGTTCCAGAGACGGCGTGGAAACCCAATGTCCATGTTGGCTGTTAGCTTTAACACATGAGGATTTACCTGCTGTTAATGAGGTCTGATAATGCCTATGTAGGCAAAACTCCGTGCTTTTGCTGTAATTAACTAAGGTTCTTTGTAGCCAGCTTCCAGATCAGCTAGTCCTCCATATGCCCGGAAAAGCACTAGACTACAGTTTCAGCCAGTTGGGCATCTGATTTGGAAGCTGGCCGCGAAGAACCACAGTTAATTATATCAAGATCCTCTACTCACTAGTACATCAAAAGACATCCGCCCTGACAGTTTCTATATGCTATGTCGTACGTAGCTAATGTTAGTGGATATCGTACCTTTCGGGGTCAACTCTGTCCGCTACAACGTCCGTAACTTGCATGGCGGTGGAGGATAAGACGCGTTATATCGCAGTTAGCTTGTAAATTATGACGGTCTGAAGCTGTACCCCGTGGCCCAGTGGTATAAGCTGCTGACTAGCGGGTAAAACCGCTGGTGGCCTTGGGTTCGAACAATGATGGATCCGATGAATGCGCACTACTGACGATGACCAACACACTGAAACTGCAGTCTAGTGCTTTTGCGGGCATGCAAACGACTAGCTGATTTGGAAGCTGGCTGTGAAGAACCTCAACTAATTATATCAAAAATTTCCTACTCATTATTACATTAAAATACATCCGCCCTAACAGTTTCTATATGCTATGTCGTGCATAGCTACTGTTAGTGGGCATGGTCTTTCGAAGCCAACCCTGTCCTCTACAACGTTCGTAACTTGCATGGCAGTGGAGGATAAGACGCGTTATATCGCAGTTAAGTTGTGAATCATGACGGTTCGAAGCTGATTTGGAAGTTGGCTGAGAAAAACAATTAAGTATATCAAAATCCCCTACTCATGATTACATCAAAATCCCCTAACTACTTACAAATTCGTCGCCTCGAATTTACCTGCCTCTGTTGTTCACCGTAGACTGACTGGCAGACGTGAAAGCCAGATCCGTGAAGAGCTAGCCGGGTCCCATCGAGGTCGAGACTGCATCGATCATATCTTCACTTTGCGTCAGTTATTAGAGCACCGTCGCATAGATTGGCGGCCCATCGTTTTCGTGTTCCTCGACATCAAAGACGCTTTCGATTCGGTTGATCGAGGTGCCTTTTGATACTGTCTACTCAGAAAGGTGTGTCCGAGAATTATGTAAATATTATGTGAGCGCCTTACGCACGCAGTTTTGGTAGAGTGAAAGCCGGTGGTAAACTGTTGCAGCTTCTCAATATCTCCAGTGGTGTGAGAAAACAATGCTTACTGGTACCTTTCCACTTTGACTTCGATATTGATTAAGTCATGCAAACTGCGTTCGCTAGACACGGATTTAAAGGAGTGGCGCTGCTTTATGTTGATCGAATTCTTGACTTGAAATATGCAAATAATATTGAGCTAATCTGTGGCGGCTTACAAACATGATAACCAGCACTGGCTGTCAACCATACTGTACTCTGCTTTGAACGCTCCAAATGCAGAATCCAATTCCTGCACTGACCCTAGGTAGGGATCAACCAGAAGTAGGTTAGAAATTCAAGTACCTGGACAGTTTTATCATTGCTTGTAGATTGGACTGGATCATGGAAAGGATAGGTGTTTTGTCGATCGCTGACATTTGGGGCAACGCCGCAAAATCACTCTCACCTTAAAGGGTAGAGTCGACAATGCAGCCGTCCGTTCAGACATGCTGCATGGTTATAAAACCTGGTCTATCACAGACAAACAAAAAGTGGCTAGTTGTATTCGACCGCCGGTATTTTCGCAGTTTGGTTTACATTTAGTGAGAACACCGCCTGAATAATGAGCATGTTCGACATCTTATATTTGATGCAGGAAGAGAAAAAACCGCTCAGCACCCTTATTTCACACACTAGGCTGCAATGCCTTGATCATGTGATCATGCATGCTAACACACCAATTCCCGAGAAATGTGTTGCTTGCGCGACCGGGGTCTGGATATTGATAAAGATGAAGGAATAACATGTGACGACTTGATCAGGGGGAATGAAGACGATCACTTCAAAGTTAAGCTCCACTGGAGCCATCCGACTCCCTGGTTGGGGTCCAACAAACGATGAAAACGTTTGGTTGGGTATACATGTTGGCAAGACGAAGAGCCGACCACAGGATGTTTCTGTTGTCAGTGTCTTCGTCTCTCCCCACCGCGCGTAGTCTCCCCCTCCAACCACAATCTCGCTATCAAGACACAGTACAAAACAAGACATAACAACATTTTGTTTTGCTGCACTTTTCCTGTTAGTTTTACTTTTCTCTCGTTAATGCCATCTAATCGAATTGTATTGTGGCCCAATAGCTGGGGTATTTCTCACTCTTACCTAATGCGTAGAATGGATCATTGATGCAAGGCTTGAAATTGTGGACCCGCATTTCAACCAAGCCCGAAACAAATAGATGCGTATTTAATATTAGTAAAAATGACAGGTCACATGATTGTTATGTGCGATTGTCAAGATTTGTTTGCGAAGAACACGCAGATGAATGTGACGTGAAGTCAAGTCGTTCCGATGTGAACGGACTATAGAGTAGCGACTGTGGGATAGGCTGCAGTAAAGTGCCGATAGAGCGCGAATTTGCGCAGACAGTTATAAACGGCGTACATAATAACCGAAGCAATTTTCCTGTCAGTGATAGGCCAAAAACCAGTGAGACTTTCTCTCTTGGATGCGTTTAATACCATGTAGTACAAACTCGATTCGGGTGAACTCAGCATTGATAGCGCGAACGGTGGCATTTCAGAGAGACACGGTGTGAATGTGAATGCGGGTGGGGGTGAATACAAAGAGGAAGAGCAAACGGAAAGCGTAGCGACAGACGGCGTCCGACAAATGATCAAACCCGACGCCGTAACCATCTATGATTCGTCCAGAGAAGGTCGAATGTTGTACCCTAAAGTGCCAACTGATAAAAGAGAAGCTTTAATATCAAGCCGTTGCTTTGCTCCGATGCTTCGTTGTCAACTAAACCACAAGTAATTTTGTACAGACAGAGATAACACCACAGTACCAATCCTAGATAAAAGCGTGGGCTGGATCTTCAAGCACAAACGTAAGTCAGGCTCCTGAGTCACTGCGCCAACACTGAATCGTCGAGGTTGGAACATGCCGGACAGGGAATAAGGCATAGGGTTGTTGTGGCCTTCTATGGATCGCGAATGTGCCGATCTCAGAGCCCAGACGCTCGACTATAAAACAGAAGTCTACCAGGAACACTCTTGCGAGAAGACAAAACGTGGTACTTAGGATACGACTTCATTAGTTTATAAAGTCCGTCTACACAATGAGCTTGAAAATGAAAATGTGGCAAAATGCCATTGGTTGAATCTAGGGCACTACCATGAGACAAGCGAATCATCTTCCAGACGGAATGCTGGACGTTTTATCCAACCGATTTCGTTAGAGTCTGGGTCCCTTAACCAGGGTTAAGAAGAAAAAGGAAAAAGGCATCACCAGTATGCCGGTACGCAATACCAACGCATCGCTGCCATGCAACCAATACCAGCTGTGCATGAACAAAGGATACTGCTAGGGCCTGCCGATTCCCTACGCAGGCTAGAACCAGCGACCTCCGAATCACAAGGAAGGTTTGTGATCCATTCAGCCACGGGCCAGGTTAAATGGAACTAGAATAGCAATATAGTGTGACAGAAAGCTCCAAATGAATGTAACACATCGGCATGATTCAAAAAGAAGTGAATGAGCAAGATGAGTCAACTGAACAAATGGTTCACCTGGCTAGCCGGTGGTTCCATGATATCTAGCCGCAGTCGTTTCACTAAGTCGGGATAGTGTCGAGGATCGAACACGACGACATCTTTCACAATCCGACCAGGGGAACGAAATTCGGTGGAGTATGGGTTTCTTTTTGATTCATCGAGGTCCACTACCGGTTTTGGGGGGAATGTGCATGAGGATGCAGGAGGATTTACGACGTCCTTGGATGCGCGATTGAGCTCCCTGGAATTTGGGGGATATATGGCTTTCAGCAGTCCGACGGCAGCAGTTGTGTGACGGCCAAAACCATCACCCACATGGTCAGCATGACAAGGAGTTCGATCGGTAACGAGGACCTGCCGAATGCGTCTTGTACGCCGACTGACAAGTAACTCAGTCAGGTCGGAATTCTGTGACATCCTGCGATGCAACGAAAACAGATCAAAACAGTGTGACCCGATAACTCATTGAAACACGGGTAACAGCACAAGCAGATATAGAACCTGTTTTGATGGAAGCAGTACAGTACGAAGATGTATGTGCCAGGGATAGGGCTGGCTAGTTGCTTTGTGATGATCAGTCAGGTTATCGTCATGTAGATAATGTGTGAGCGTAGGCGACGGAATCGATCATGCAAATAAGTATATTACTCGTAATCAAGCAAAACAATTCCAACTTGGATAGCTGTTCTATTTTCTATGAGAGGATACAAGACGCAACTCGCTCGGTTAAAGGTGTCAGTGAAAAATGGCATTGTAACAACCATCTTACGAGACTATAGATGTCTCCAGCATTCATTTTCTAATAAAGGGATCACATATGCCACACAATAAGTCGTGTGTAATTGATTCCGTTATGCACAATATCTGAAGCGGGATCTAATCGAATGACAGCTGCCTCAAGACACCAAAAGTGAAAAAATGTATGTGGGCGCCTATGGTACCACATGTGAAGTATCCAAGTTGCCAGGAAGAAAATCCTACTGGACGACCAGTATTGTTCCGCTAGACATTCACCCATGGTCGTGAAGGGGCTTCAATTAGGAGGAAAATCCGATAATCATTAACAGCTCCGGTCAAGAAAAAGGCAATCATGAAACGATCAAAGCAATAAACTTCAAGGTGAGAAGCTGGAGAGTCGACAATAGACCGAGGAATAAAAGGAAGCTGATGGTGCACATCGGTCAGTACGAAAGGAGAATAAAAGTGATGTGTCCGCTGTACGCCGTAACGGCGCGTCGCTGCCGCGCGACCATCAACAGTCGCGTGCGGGCGATGACGCCCACCCTAGGCGGATTCGAACAGGGGACCGTATGGTTGCAGACCAGATGCGCAGACTACTCGGCCACGGGCCGGATGGCAGCGCGTAGAAACGGTCTTCAATAGACATCACTCGGGAATGCGTTCAGAGTTTTCCACTGAACAAATTCTCCCCAACCATCCCTGTTGCTCATGCGGTTGTAAGTAGCCAGCAACAATGAAGCGATGAATAAAGTAATGTACAAAATTTTGTAAAGGATCTAAATAGAGCAGCAATGGATCAAAAAATAAAGCGGTTCGATGCTAAACAAAACAGTGGTCGAACAATGTCACCTTCGGCCGAAGTAGACTACAAATGCAGCCCAAGTTTCATATATGAAATACCCTAGTCGTTAATCATTGTACAGTATGTAGTGGGACAGATAATGATCAATGGCGAAAAAATTAGAATACCAGCTAAACCATAGTCAGAAATAGCAATAAACGGTAGATAAAGGGTCGTTGTCTCAAAATCCATTGATATTTTACGACGCTATTTCAGATTCTTTTGGAGTCTTCATTGTTCAGCTATGGTATTGGCAAATGAGTCGGCCGGTGGCCGAATGGTTTGCACGTTTGCTTTGCAACCATAAGGTCACCGGTTCGAATCCGCGTAGGGGTGGACGTCCTCGCGGTATACACAGCCCGCGCGCGACTGGTGGTGGTCGCGCGGCAGCGAAGCGCAGTTACGGCGTCCAGCTAACACATTACATTATTATTGGCAAATGATCAACATGCTGTTTGCGGATGTCTGTTGTACGAGTTCCTATATATATAAAGATACCGGTGTAAGGCATAGATGTAGAGCCATCCGAAAACAGGAAAATTAGCGGAAGGGGACAGGTGTAGTTATCTCAAATATGAGGCTGAATACGTTGGTTCACACGTCGTCCTTTAGCCACTTTAAATTGTTTAGCATTTAACACTGGAATCCGAATCATTTTGTCCGCGAATTCTTCACTGATATCGGTTTCGCGCCTTCTCTCGGAACGTCTCAGGTCATCGACATTCCTTGTCTTTGGATCTCCCAACGAGGCAGACTTTTATATCTGTGTTGTATAGCTGTCGGTGCTTCTCTCTTAGAACGAGCTGGCGGGCTGTCGAAGTATTGGGCTAGGTGCGTTTCTGTATGATTACGATCATTCAATCTCTCATCCTTGATGTTAATTTGCAGCGAGCGTAAATGTGGTACTCACTAGGAGCAATGTCCGGGCTATATGATGGATGCATAAGGGTTTCGATATCGAGCTGCTGAATTTTTAGTCGCTTCATCTTTAACACAAAAGAACGTGTATTTTCATGCAGGAGAACGATCTGAGACGCTGTTGGACATTTTTTCGGCGTTATTCGACAATTTTTGGGAGTCGTTGGCAGTGGACATCGGCAGTGACCGTTGAACTGTCAGGTAATGGATCCCAATACAGTCAAATCTGTCTAAGGCGACCACTCAAGGGGCCGACAATAAGTGGTCGCCTTGGACAGGTTCATGCATGGGGACATTACTCGTAGGAGAAAACGTTGGGGATGTTTTTGGCTTTCGCCATAGACAGGTGGTCGCCATAGCAGGTTGGACTGTACTTCACGCCATGGCGATCTCACCAGACCAACAGCATCACTTTTGGCTGTGCAGTTCGCTTTTCGGGACTTGTACTGACGTTCCATCTCCTACGACTTACTAACGCTTCCTGCTATAGTTGACATGGAACACCAACTTTTCCTCTCTAGTAATGACATCGTTCAGCCATCGATGATTGCATCCTCGAGTGAGCAATGAACGTGCGATGACCCAACGGTTCAAAAGCTACTCACCAGTCAATTCTTCTCCCAGATTTGGAACCATTCCAGATTGGTGCCAATGGCGATGAACCGTGATTTTGGGAAGGCCAAGTTGTGAAGAAATTTCGCGCGCACATTGTATCAGATCCTCAGTTAGGGCGTCCTGCATGCTGCTGACAAAGTCCGCTGGCTTGCATTTTTGATCTCTGAGATTTGACAATTCGTACTTCCTTACTTTGAATCGGTGAAACCAAAATTTCACCAGATCTTAACTTAAAGCATCCGTGTCCATTGCGCCAGGCATGTTTCTACAAGTTTCGACCCCTTTGCGCCCTTATAGGAACTCGTACAACAGACATCCGCAAACAGCATGTTGATCATTTGCCAATAATATTAAGTAATGTGTCAGCTGGACGCCGTAACTGCGCTTCGCTGCCGCGCGACCACCACCAGTCGCGCGCGGGCTGTGTATACCGCGAGGACGTCCACCCCTACGCGGATTCGAACCGGTGACCTTATGGTTGCAAAGCAAACGTGCAAACCATTCGGCCACCGGCCGACTCATTTGCCAATACCATAGCTGAACAATGAAGACTCCAAAAGAATCTGAAATGGCGTCGTAAAAAATCAATGGATTTTGAGACAACGGCCCTTTATCTACCGTTTATTGCTATTTCTGACTATGGTTTAGCTGGTATTCTAATTTTTTCGCCATTGATCATTCTCTGTCCCACTACATACTGTACAATGATTAACGACTAGGGTATTTCATATATGAAACTTGGGCTGCATTTGTAGTCTACTTCGGCCGAAGGTGACATTGTTCGACCACTGTTTTGTTTAGCATCGAACCGCTTTATTTTTTGATCCATTGCTGCTCTATTTAGATCCTTTACAAAATTTTGTACATTACTTTATTCATCGCTTCATTGTTGCTGGCTACTTACAACCGCATGAGCAACAGGGATGGTTGGGGAGAATTTGTTCAGTGGAAAACTCTGAACGCATTCCCGAGTGATGTCTATTGAAGACCGTTTCTACGCGCTGCCATCCGGCCCGTGGCCGAGTAGTCTGCGCATCTGGTCTGCAACCATACGGTCCCCTGTTCGAATCCGCCTAGGGTGGGCGTCATCGCCCGCACGCGACTGTTGATGGTCGCGCGGCAGCGCGGTGCAGAGAACGACACGAGCCACTGTACTCGCTTTTTGTTGTTTTCACCAAGGCATTTGATACGGTGAACGGCGGGGCATTGTGGTTGGTGCTGGGTAAGTTTGGTTGCCCGCGTAAGTTTGTAAGTTTACCTGAATATCTGCACAGTGGTATGCGAGCGAGGGTACAGCTGAGTGGAGAGACCTCGGATGACTTTGCAGTTGTCTCTGGTGTGAAGCAAGACTGTGTCTTAGCTCCTGCCCAGTTTAATATATATCTGCATGCAATGTTGTCCTGTGCTATTGATGCCGCTTGTGCTTACGGTGTTCGTGTGGAGCACCGTATTGATGGTGGGTTGCTGAACATCCGTCGTTTTGGTGCGATAACTCTAGTCTGTGAGACAACTATCCGTATGTTGCTGTTTGCTGACGACTGTGCGTTGTTTTCACACAACGCGGATGAGTTGCAGCACATGACTAGTCCTCTGGCTTCGACTGCGGCAAAATTTGGGCTCACCATCAACACAAGCAAAACTGTCTGTCTCTTTCAGCCTTCACCGGAGGTGTAATCTTCAATATTGCTGCGAATCAGCATTGGTGCTGAAGTATTAGAAACCACCTCCCGCTTTTGCTACCTTGGGAGTGTGATGTCAACTGATCAGCAGCTACACAGTGAGCTGCGTATTCGCGTGTCGAAGGCAGCGGCGGCATTCGGGAAGCTTGAGTACCGAGTATGGAACAACCATCAGCTTACCATTGTCACGAAGCTGATGGTGTACAAATCCATGGTGATGTCCCTTCTTCGATACGGCAGTGAAACGTGGACGATGTACCGGCGGGATGTGCGATATCTCGAGCGGTTCCATCAGTAGTGTCTGCGACGGACTTTGCGCATCGGCTGGGGCGACAGAGTTGCAGACACGAAAGTGTTGCGACAAAGTGGAATGTATGCAGTGGACTGCATACTTTTATTGAGACACCTGAGATGGCTCGGTCATGTGAGCAGTATGGATCCGACGCGAATACCGAAGCAGCTATTATATGGTCAGCTGAGTATTGGGAAGCGGCAGGTTGGGAAACCAAGGTTACGTTACCAGGACATGATTAAAGTGAGCCTCACACATTCTAATCTTGATTGCAGATCATGGGAATCGAAGGCAGTTGATCGGCGTGCATGGCCCGATCTGATCACGAAGGC